GCGCGGCGGAGATTAGGGACCCAAAGAAGAACGGGGCGAGAGTGTGGCTGGGGACCTATGAGACTGCTGAGGATGCTGGCTTGGCTTATGACCGAGCCGCTTTTAAAATGCGTGGCTCCAAGGCTAAGCTTAATTTTCCTCACCTCATCGGTTCACATGATTCGGAGCCCGGTCGTGTGGCTCCCAAGCGTGGCTCACCGGAGCCATCGTTTTCGTCAGCCACGTCGTCGGATGATGGTGGATCCCCGACGCTTAAGAGGAGAAAGAGTGGAGTTGACTCGGCAACTAAAGCCAAGTCGGAAGAAGCAGCTGAACAGTTTCATGTGTTTCAAGTGGACTCATTAACACTTGACGGCCAGCTGTTGGTGGACGAGTTGTACACATATGACGGACTTTTGGCCATCTGAGTACATGGATTATTCATTTTGGTTTTTTTGTAGTTTATTTTTGGATCGGATTTTTTTGTTTTTGTTTTTGTTTTGTTTTGTAGTTGGACATAATAAAAGTAATTTTCCCAAACAAAATTGACAATCTTGCGCTTCAACTTTGTCTTTTCATCTTTCGTAGCGTTGTTGATCTCTACAGAATTCGAGAACTTGGCTCTTTGATTTGGATTGTCTTCCTAAAGGATCATAGTAGACCTGCACATGTAACATAGAAGATATGAACACATGTTTCAATATTTGACATAAAAACCTGCAAATCAACATGTGGAATCATATTTTGACTATAATATGTCTTCGAGAAGGATGGAAAAGTTCTAAAAGACATTCACACTAGGAAAAAAAAACAAGACTAGGTATTTAACCAAATAAGCCACTGAGTGAAGAAATGGGAAAACAGATATGATGCTCAATGCTTTACTAGATTGTATATGTAAACACATTGACCTTAGGGTGCATTACGTTCATGGAAAACATGACTTGGGATGTGAAATCTTCCATTTTTCATTCTTTGGAAGATGACATGGGAAATAATTTTTCATCAAATTCTTTCTGTGAACCAAACAGACCTGTGGTAGAGGAAAGTTCTTCATATACCGAGAGTCACTTGCCGTTATTTTTGGAGCTTAATGAATTGAATTAAACTCAATTGCAATTGTAGTTTGTTTCTTTCAAAATTATAACTCTAGTTTATTTTTTTTTCTTTTCTTTTTTATGAGAGTAGTTTAATTACTTGGGTTTATGAACTCAAGTAAAATACTTTCTGAATGAACCCCAAAGGAATTGAAAAATTAGCCCAATATAGCAACCGAAGTGGGCCATTTAGGTTAACTAGTCGAACTTTGTTTTCATGACTTCTTAAATATTAAATCAACAAGAAACGAGGATGAACATTTTGCCCTTGTATGCTCCCCCACTCAAGATTAGAGTGAGGCCTAAATTTCTTCCTTGTGAAAATAAGGAAAAGAGAAATGCAACTCTAGCAGTAAGAACCATTTCTCAGCTAATTAATTATACAAGCATTTTCATAACTCATTAATTTATATCTCAAGCTGCCACGTGATTATCAACCCCGGCCTCTCTTCGCTTTGGCTTGGAAGACCCATTATCCGATGTGTATGCTGACGAGGACAACGAAGAGCATTGGTCAGGCGAGCGGCGCCGCTTAGGGGTCACCCGAACGGGCTCCACGTTACTCGAGCCAATCAAGTGAGGAAAATTCAGCTTGGCTTTACAGCCGCGAATCTTAAATGCGGCTCGATCATAAGCCAGCCCCGCGTCCTCCGGGGTCTCATAAGTTCCAAGCCACACTCTCGCGCCGTTCTTTGCCGGATCCCTTATCTCCGCCGCGAACTTCCCCCACGGCCTCCTTCTCACGCCTCTATAATGCCTCTCCCCCCTTGGCGCGTGAACAGCACTCTCCGCCACTTGTTCCTTCAATTGAACCTCGTCGTCGGACACAACACATCCAACGTAATTTACGTCATGCAAAGCTTCAAGCATGTCCTGTATGGTGTTGTCCACGCCTTCGGCTTCAAGAGATGATTCCCACCAATACTCGGTCACGAAAAACGGGAAAGTCACCCTGCGTGGTGTTATCCACGTGTTCGGCTTCAAGAGATGATTCGCACCAATTCTCCGTCACGAAAAGCGGGAAAGTCACCGAGACATTATTGCCACTAAAACTCGTTGCCTGAGGCTCCAAATCGTCAAGAAGATGGTGGCGAATGGACTCAAGAAGAGCCAAGTTAGATTCTAGTTCTAAGGTTGTCTCTCCGTACATGTTCCTGAACTGTACACGTACTTATGATCGATTGAGTGGTTCGAAGCTCTGAGTTTCTTATGATCGATGGAACGTTGGCACATGTTCGTCACACACAAAAGCTAGCTTTATATGAGCTCATATGGTATCGGAGGCAGCTTCAATGAAGCTTCAAGTTTCATGGCAGTGCGTGAAATAATTAATGGAATCCATGTGTCTTTTTAGTCACGTGCAGAAATTATCTGATAATTAGCACTATATTAGTTTAAAATGAACTAAATTAATCGAATCTATGCAGTTTAGTTAGATTTTGAGAGCATGGTATGTTGGATTCCAGGTACGTTACACACATGGGCATTAATTATTATCAAGTATTTAATTCTAAACCCTAGAATATTGTTGTAGTTGAGATGGGTGATCGATTTTCTTATTTCTCTTTTGGCTTATATCGTGGATCTGGATTCTTTGTTCTTTGTCTTTTTCTTTGTTCTTGTATACTTAAAAGCAATAAATAAATAAAAATATTGTATGGTTACGATTGTGAGGATGTGAATATGGTTGTATTAAGAGCTTATAAAGAGTTAGATCTCCCCTCCAATTATCAATTAATTTGCCTATGCATGAAACCCAATAACAACATATACACGACACGTCATCTGGATTTATAAGGAGTTGACCCACTTACTCGTCAATGAAATTAAAAACATGATTTACAATTTTACTTATCCAAAAATATCTTATATTTTATAAGTTTTATTGTTAAATCTTAAGACATACAAGGGAACCTTCGGATTTATTAAATTACGGATCGGATTTATTACATTACGCATTAGATTACAAGTCAAAGAATGCCAATAAGAATGTACGGAACTTAACTTTTCACAGATTTTCTATAAGGAATAGTACTTTTTGGTTGTTGCCATTTATGGTTATCTTAGATTTTTGCTTTAAGTAGAAAGAGGGATTAGATTAAGTAGCTCGCATGCAGTAGATTTTTACTTTCCATAAATATTACTATTTCTGAAATTAAATAAGGTTTTGCTCATGTGGCCTCTGGTCAAAGCCATTTCAAATGTTCACTCAGCCAGATGCGCCACCTTGTTTCAACTTTCCATTTTCAAAGTCCAGAACTGGGCATTTTCACTTTTGTTTATTCATTTTTATTTCATAATTGTTATTATATTATAAAATGCATGTGCAATGTTTAAACAAAGAAAGTTTTTTTTTCCTTCTTATACGTACGATAGTATATATTTTTTTTGGGTCAACGTATGATAGTAAGTTAATAATACATATACGTACAATGACCAACTTCTATTATCTGTCTTTTAATATTTAAAATATATGGTGTACACATGGTGTATTTCCTTCTTCAAATTTTACTCAACAACGATCTAGGTGTTAGATTATGTCGGCCAAAACACGACAAATTAATTTACAGAGGTACTTAATTTAAGTCTAATTTGACATTGCTGTGTTGTGAAAATAATTTCTTTCAGATTTGTTGCAAGAGAAATCAACTGTGGAAAAAAGTAGTTTGGCATTTGGTACATCCTCTTCTTACCCGTCCTCACATAAACCTTTCTAGTACCATATGAAACGTTGTTATAGTCAGGCCGGCCCTGAGGCAGGGCAGGAAGTGCGACCACCCTAGGCCTTGGCTCAAGGAGGGCCCCAAATTTGTATTTGTATTTTTATTTTTGTCATTGTCAGGTATATTCAATTGTTATATAAATAAAAGAGACGTATTGACATAAAGTAATGCTGGCAATGTTGGTTAGGCCTGATTTTTAATTGGAAGATTCACTATTATACCCAATATAGGAGCTCAAATTATAAAAATACCCTATATGAATTCAAGTCCTCCCAATTCGAATCTTAGCATTGTGTGTTTCCTTCTTTTTGGGTCTTTCTTCGTTTCTTATAGAGAGATGTATATAAAATAAGCAGGTTCTTTTTAGTACTCCAATGCTTTTATAGACATCTCTCATTTTACAATATCTACATTCACATAGATTTTTCTTGTATGGTATATATATATAGAGGGTCTATTTTCGACGTCACCCTGGGCTGGCCCTGATTATAGCATCTCGATCGAGAATTTGTCTAACCAATTACCTCAGGTGGTGGCTTCATCGGAGCCTCTTCAACACGGCGTCGCCTTAGTAGTCTTGCAAAATGGCTACGTTTGACACACGCATCCTGTTGGCTTGATAAGTAAGTACACATGATTCTACAAAACAGATGGAGTATTGTTCACTATCGAGTAATGGAAAATTGTATCAAAGTACTTGGTACTCTTGTCGCTACACCATATAATGTTAATGGTTGGTGTCTATGCAAAGAAAAGAAATGGAAATATTCAATTCAAAATGTCTACTTGGGTGAAATAAAACTTTTTTCTTTTCTCAATGGGTTAAATTAAACTTTTAAGCTTGCATGTTAGGCACTAGTGAATGCTTTTACAAGTTAACTCTGGACTGGGTGCATGCAACTGTCCTAACTCAGGTACATATAAGAAAACATTCATTCTTGCGCTGCACTTTGCCTAGAATAACTAGCATATTTTTACTCGAGATTGAATAATTGAAAAAGTATAAAATGAGTATTGAATCAACCAGATTTCCTTGTGTATCTCAACCATCCGTATCCGATCTAACAACAAAGAAACAAGGGCACCCAGAAACAAAGCCACTTAAAAAGGCACTCAAAATCATTACTGGGAAGTTGAACCATTCACCCCCAATAATTTTTACCAATATAAGAACCACTGAACTCAAGACACATTGAGAAACAAGAACAGTTGTAGTATCTGAATCCATGAACAATGTTAGCCGCACCAATAAATGTGGTTTCATTCTTGTAAACTCAATTGGAATAACAATGGGTTGAAGACAAGCTAAATAACATATGAAATATGAGCCTAAAACAACAAAGAAAAAGGTTTAACATCAGAGAGGTTACGGTCTCCAAAAAGGAAAAATCAACACATCTGGGAAAGCCATGAACAAAAATCAAGCCTACTCAAACTCGCCTAAACACACTCATCCTTTCCACCTCTTAACTCTCATCTATATATCGGATGCCGTCTCCTGCATTTCCAAGTCAAAAAGTAGAGTAAAGGCAAATCATATTGACGATCCAAACCAAATATTCAAATAATGCACGTAATAGGTTTTGCAATAAAGGTTCACGAATATTTTATTGTGTGGAACATGGTAAGACCACCTACCCCAAGGACGTGAGGAAAAGAGAGAGAATTTGATTTTTTAAAATGTTTTTTGGTAGAATTGAACACATGCAAGAAACATCTGTCGATACACATCATAATTAAGAAAGTGAGGTGTATGCATTACCTCTTTGGTCTACTTCGGTCTTCCTCATAGTCCATCACTCCACCAGGTTCGGAGTAAATCTCCTCGTGCCCCCGGAAGTCAATGTCGGCCTGCTTACAGTGTGGAACTTCTGCCACAACGTAAGTAAGACACATCGACCAATATAGCCAATAACTAAACAAAAGACTCTAAAAAACACATTGGAAGGTGCTGTGTGTGGGGTGAGAACAAAGTACTCGTTCATCTAGTGATTATTTAGCTTCAGAGTAGATCATCACAAAAGCCTTGATGTGCACATTTGGTGTAGAGAAACATATCAATAAAATAAAAATCATAAAGTATTCTTTACTATGGCATGTCCAAATCATCAAGTGCAACTTATCCACTTGATTAGGAAAGGATTATTTGGAGAAGCAATACAAAAAATAAAACTGGATTAAACTGACCTTGTGGGAAGAGGACTTCTTTACTTCTTCCACCCTATCTTCGACTTCTTTTTTGTGTTCCTTGGCCAATTCAGTCATAGTATCAGCCCACTTCATCTTCTCTTGAATCGTGATAAGAAGATTGTTTGAGGTATCCAACCTACGTTTTCATTCACAGAAAATTTAGACAATTCTATTAGTTTTTTTTATCTACAGAAGAAACTTCATAAATCATAAACTCAGCAGCAAAAAATCAGAACACATTACTTCATTAGACATGGGACCATGTTTTTCAGTTTTTTTTTTTTTTTTTTTTCTGAATCTTCGTTGGAAAAATTGTTAGCAAATTGGTAAAAGATGCTCCATGGCATGAGATTATACACCTCACAGTCATGAAACTTTCACGCAATCAGGGAAAAACATTAATGTTTTGAGATCATAATGCACATGCCAAGAGAGGTAGAGAAACTAATGCCCTCAAAATCAGAGATGTTACCAGTTTGACAGTGTGTGTATCATACTCCCAAGTTGTCCAGGTCTGGGGTCTCTCCCTGCAGCAAACTGGACCTGCTTTTCACAAGATTGAATACCTAAAGGGAATGAGCAGAAACCAAAGAGAAGAAAGAGGAAAGCGAAAACAAGGAGAAAAAAAATCCAATAATTTAAAGCAAAGGCAGCAATAAAGCTCAAACCTCAAAGCACTTCCGCAGCTGGTCAAGCTTTCCTCTTACTATGCCCTAAAAGAAAACAAACCTAAAAATCACCGCACATCTCCTCCATTATAAAATAGTATATATAACATTACATATATATCTTAAAAAGGTTATCTACACAACCAAGAAAGTAGGAATCTAGTTCATAATTTTAAAGATACTATATAAAAATAGACAAAAGGAAAAGATTATATCCATTGATTCCATTCCATCATTCATGCGTGATTACTCATTAGTTTGTTACAAATCGCTACTACCTAGAAAATCAACTTTGTCGCAGAACAATCATTAAAGAAGCTGCTGTTTATTTCACATTTAACCCATAACATTTTAAAGTAATATTCAGACCATCGGTTTTTTAAATAATTTGAAAAGTTTTTAAAATACCTCAGACACCCCCCCCTTTTTTAGGAGAAAAAATCACAAAAGAACACCTCTTGCATCCAGATGCGTATGTACACAACGCATGTCGCACTATATCCAAAGGTCAAACTTACAAAAATGTCAACGGAATACTCCAAATCTGTATCCGACAAGTGTCAAGGTGTATTGGGGGGCATCAGGGCCATATCCATATCGGATACTCTGCACCTGCAATATTTGGAATATCCGTGCTTCATCGACCAAAACTAACATTAACAACTTTCAGATATTGCTGTCCAATATTCAAAAGAATATTCTTACACAAGCGAGAACACATTTTATTTCAATGGTTGTAGAAATAATCAAATAATCATCCGCCCATATGCACACACCAAGACAGATTGGCAGAAAGACAGGGGAGAATAGTGTTTTTCCAACACATTTGATTTCAATTCTTTCACTTGGACTGTATTTGAATGATAATTTGTTAAAAGTTATCATTATTCATTCCACATCCTTCACTAGAACGCTTTGTCCATGTTTCAATATAGAACGGAAAAAAGAGAGGTAGCAGGATGAAAGAAGAATTACCGCATACATGCACTCATTAATGAGAAAATCCTCGAGCTCACGTACATTTATAACATCTAACTCCTGCATTAGTTGATCATATGGTAGTACCTGCAAAAGCTTTCAAGAATACTTAAGAAAATTGAATACACAATAGTGACCTAGAAAATCCCCTAGTGTAGCTGAATGAGGAAAAAAAAAAACACACTTGATGCATCAGCATTTGATTTATAACAAAAACAGGAATGGGATAAATTTCATTCGCTAATGTAGTGCTACCTTACATACTAAAAGTTATAGAAGAATTTCTCCATCATAAGGCCTTTAGCTCATGATCTGATCAATCACTAGAGTCAGGCATCAGATGACTAAGATAGGTAACACTGCTATTTTTCCGGATTTAGACCAAATAAGCTTCTGGCATTCCGTTTCAATTAACTTTTCAAATCTGAGTTTCCAGTATTTTAGCAGGCACCATAATCTATTACAATAAGAAATCAATTTTAAGCAGTAGCAGTATTGGTAACTGCAGTCAATTTTCTCCAAGTGCAATTACGACAAATTTATGTCCAAAGGACTTGTCCAAAAGTGATGCATTTTTCACTATATCCTTTCATTTTTTCTTTAGGATGACATTTGTTAAGCATGGAGAACATAAAGTACCAGAAGTGACACACTCCACATAATCACATTGAAACCATATAGCCTTAACCATTACTACACATTCAGAGATGTATATTGCCAACAACTTTTGAAAAATAAGAGGATTACGCATTTGAATCATGCCTTGTTTGTCTCAGCTAGTGTAAGAACAGTGAGCTGCTTCAGCTTTAGGACTTGATCAGGGACCAATTGGGGAAGACGACTGGCATCACCTACAATTGAACTATGTTTCAGTTTCTTAAATTCCATCCCAATAAGCCATAGAGAAGCTTACATAATTTTTTTATTTATACAAAAACTCAGAGAAATTTAAGGGAAGTAGTTCTCTAAAATAATAAAATTTACCATAAAGAAAAAAAAAACATAAGAAAAGAGAACCATGGATTTAATAATGTTACAGAGTTGATGACAGAGGCAATGGCGCATAAAATTATAGCTGTATTCCCTTTTAAAATGGTCAACAGTTAACAGATGATTTCTTAAGACATTATATCCTCCGAAATTTTGGAAATTATTGTAGTGGAAATGAAAATGATTAAATGTTATGGAGTGGTATCATTTCAGCCAAACTCCAGGGACATTAAAAGAAACAGAAGTAGTTTTTTTATATAAAAAATTGAAGATAATGAAGATAAAGTTCTTTTGTTTCTTTTTTATTTTTTAACTTTTTTTTTTTCTGCAGTTGGTAGTTATAGATGCTGCATATGTTTTGAATAATAAAACCTTTTAACGTTCAAATATATGCAACTTGAAATATCACCATGGACCCCGAAAACTTGCGCTAAAAATACAACTACCCACCAAGAAAAAGAAGAAAACAAATAGAAGGAAAAGGAAAATCCAATAACAATTTAATTTTCTCTTCGGCTACATATGTACATCTACACACATATATATTGAACTGCAGGTGCAGACTACGCAATGCCAACAGACCGTTCCAATGGCGGCTCAATTTTTGGGTTATCTTTTTCTGATTTTTGTTTCCATGTTGCAACAGGGTTTAACACTTAAGGGTGTAAGTTAGTTTTTAACATTTAGAGTTTAGGGCGTTTGATATTGTATCAGACATAGAAGCAGAAAAGAAACATTAATCGATTTGGTGCAAGAAGGCCAGAGCAATCAAACCAACAGCTAGAGATTCACTAATGAGAAAATGGACCAAAAGATGAAGCAAGTTTTGCACGCTCACTCTTGTAGTCACTCCATGTTCCTTGTGAAAACAAGCGAAGAACATCCAGGTTCACAGAAGTCTCTGTTCCTTCAAGCTGCAAATATTACAGAGTCAAAAGAACCATTCCAATGACATTCGTAGTATGAAAACAATAATAAACAATTTAATTTTCTCTTTGGCTACAAAAAAATTCTGATTTAGACATTTTTTGTTCATAAGCAATGACCTAACTCCTAAAACAACAGAACCCTTCTCTCAACCAAAACAAGAATAACATTTCTCTTTAACTAAGAAAAACATCCCAAATAATTAAAAATTTTAAATTTACCACATCATATTCCACCACATCCATTGGCCATCATTAATTGGGGGGAAAAAAAAACCAGTTGTAGCAGTGAGGATATCATCTCCTATTTCCTAACTTAACATTCAAATTCTCCATTCATTCTTAGTTTCTACCACCACAGAGCAGAAAAGGAAAATTCACAACAAAACAGAGAGGAAAGAAAAAGAAATGAAACCTGAAGAACATTAGGAACGGCGAGAATCTC